GCGGGGTACAAATAAATTTTATTATTATTATTATTATTATTATTAAGTTTTATATTAAGTGTTTTTTAGTCCAAATTTTTTCTTGAATGTCCAATGTTGTATGGTGCCTTGTCCTTCTTTGTAGTTAGGATAGCAACTGGTCATCTTTTCCAGTAGGATTTTAAAATCAAGATTTAAATAAATTAGATGGGTCAGAATTAGTAACAAGAGGAAGCCATGATGCTCATTTGGGCTCCCAACGTAGCTAGCTAAAGGAGAGGCAGTCAAGGAATCACTCTCTCAGTTCCAGACCACCACATATCTCCAGCTTTGTGCTGTGTGCTCTTTGCACTCCTTATTGGCACACAACACAAAACACACACACACCATTCATCCATATGTCACATGAAGGAGTGTGGAGAGCTGGTACAAGAGAGAAACTGCCTTTTAGAGGAAAGTATGTGTTGTGCATCCTCTTTGGAGAGTCATGAGGCATGAAGTGTCTGGCCTTCTAGGCATGTTCGCACTCGCTGCTCCACGCAACACACAAATGTAGACATTCCCATGTTATCCATGCTGTTTCTTTCAGTGGTATTTAAGGCAGGGTGACGAGATGCAGTAGCTCAAGTGGTAAGACACTGACTCTCTTGGTTGCAAGATCGGCACGTTGGCAGTTTGAGGCCTGGGTGCTGCATGATAGGGTGAGCTCCTGTCACTCATCCCAGCTTCTGCCAACCTAGCAATTCGAAAGCATGGAAATGAAAGTAGATAAATAGGTGCTACTTCGGTGGAAAGGTAAAATCATGCTGACCACATGATCACAGAGTAGTCTCTGACAATGCTGGCTCTTCGGCTTAGTAACGGAGATGAGCACCACCCTCTATGGTCGGACATGACTTGACAATCTTGTCAACAGGGAATTCCTTTACCTGACCAGATATTGTCCTAACCACAGAGAAGGACAAAGCACCACAAAATGGAGGGCATCCAAGAACAGTGTAGGACTAAAAAAAAAAAACTTAATATGAAATGTACTGTATATACTCATGTATAAGTCTACCCAAAAAACCTGCCTTGGAGATGGCAATGGCAAACCGCTGCTTACCAAGCTTGCTAAGAAAACCCTGTGATAGGGTTGCCAGATACACCCAGTCACACTCTCAGCACACAACAAACACAACCCTGGGTGGACCTGGGCAGGTCACATTCTCTCAGCATCAGGGAAAGAAGGCAATGGCAAAAGCTCCGCTGAAGCAACCTTGTCAAGGGAACCCCAGTACAGGGTCCTCCTAAGTCAGAAAGGGCTTGAAGGCACACAATAAAAACAACTCTGGGTAGGTCACACTCTCTTAGCCTCAGGAAGAAGGCAATGGCAAAAGCTTCTCTGAAGAAACTGCCAAGGAAACCCCAGGACAAGGTCCCCCTAACTCAGAAAGGGCTTGAAGGCACGCATCCTCAATGCACCACTCTCCCGAGAGACACCAGGAGAAACCCTGCCACTGGGATCTGGGGATAGCCCCAGCCCTCTGAGTTTGAGGGCTCTTTGGCCAGGGGTGGGGTTTGCTGCAAAAGTGGGGCTTATGGGCAGAAGGGGCAGGGCATCCAGGCAGAAGTACTGTGTGGCGCCCATCCAGGCTGCCGCAAGGAACTGGGCTGGCCGCGCATGCGTCCCTGCCCCTCCAGCTCCCCGACCTGGGCCTCCCTGGCTGTGTGCCCACTCAGATGGCTTCACGTACCAGAACAGGCATGCATGCAGTGGATTTGTCAACACGGCATTTGGGTCAGCATAAGTCAGAAATGACTTAAGGGTTCACAGAAACTGCAAGAAGGTTTTATTCTTATATTTTCTGTTAATTTTAAGAGTTTCTGGACAAATGGATGATGACACATGGCACTCTTCAGAAGAGGAAGAAGTAGACTTCAGCCCTAAGGTAAAGTTTTTCATTATGCAGGTTCTGAAGTGACAGACTTAAGGTACCAGTTATGATGCTACACTGTGGCAAGGGGGGAATCTAAAAAATATTCCAATACTACAGTTTGCCCTCTGTATCTGCAGATTTTTTATTCACGGTTTCAAGCATCCACTGCTTGACAAAAAATATATATTCAAAAAATATATAAAATCCCAAAAGCAAACTTTGGTTTTTTCCACTTTATATAAGGAACTCCCTTTTGTTCGGGCCAATCTTGAGCTATGGTGACCCTGTGGATGAGACATCTCGAGGCCCCCCTATCCTCTACTGCTCTGCCTAGCTCCTGCAAACTCATATTCGTGGTCTCTTTAATAAAGTCCATCCATCTAGCATGTGGCCTTCCTCTCTTTCTACTTCCCTCCAGCTTTCCTAACATTATTGTCTTTTCCAGCGATTTATGCCTTCTCATGATGTGACCAAAGTATGACAGTCTAAGTCTTGTCATCTTGGCTTCTAGGGATATTTCTAGCTTGATCTGCTCTAGGACCCATTTTTTTGTCCTTTTGGCTGTCCATGGGATCCTCAGCACTCTTCTCTAGCACCACATCTCAAATGCATTGATTTTCCTCCTATCTTCTTTCTTCACTGTCCAGCTCTCACATCCATACATGGTAATTGAGAATACAATGGCTTGTGTGATTCTGACTTTTGTGCTGAGTTGTATGTCTTTGCATTTTAGGATCTTTTCTAGTTCTTTCATAGCTGCCCTCCGCATTCTTAATCTTCTTCTGATTTCCTGGCTGCAGTCCCCGTTCAGATCAATATTTGATCTATGATATGAGAACTCTGTTACTATTTCTATTTCCTCCTTGTCTAGTTTGAATGTGTGTAATTCTCTGTGGTCATTATTTTTGTTTTCTTGATGTTCTACAGTCAGCCTGCCTTTGCACTTTCTTCTTTGATCTTCCTTAGTAGTTGTTCTAGGTCTGTGAGGTTCTCTGCTAGCATTATGGTGTCATCAGCATATCTCATTGTTGATGTTTCTTCCTCCTATTTTCACTCCTTCCTCTTTCATGTCCAAGCCTGCTTTCCTTACAATATGTTCTGCATATAAGTTGAATAGGTAGGGTAATAGGATACAGCCTTGTCTTGACTCCTTTGCCAATTGGGAACCATTCTGTTTCTTTGTGTTCTGTCATGATAATAGCCTCTTGTCCTGAGTACAGATTCCTCATTAGGACTATCAGATGTGTTGGCACTCCCATCTCCTTAAGGGCAGTCCATAGCCTTTCATGATCTATGCAGTCAAAGGCTTTGCTGTAGTCTATAAAGCACATGCTGATTTTCTTTTGGAACTCCCTGCTATGCTCCATTAGCCATCGTATGTTTGCAATGTGATCCCTGGTGCCTCTTCCTTTCCTGAATCCTGCTTGGACCTCTGGGATTTCTCTCTTCATATATGGTTGGAGCCTATGTTGCAGAATGATTTTGCTTGCATGAGAAATTTGTGCTATGGTTCTGTAGTTGCTGCAGTCTTTTGTGTCTCCTTTTTTGTGGATGACGATGTATATTGATTGCTTCCAATCTGTTGTCCATCATTTTGTTTTCCATATCTGTTGACATATGTTTATTATTATTATTATTATTATTATTATTATTATTATTATTATTATTATTATTATTTAATACCCCGCCTATTGGAAAACCAATCCAGACGGCTTACAAATTAAAATCAAATACAAACCCCACACAATCCCTCCCCTCTTTAAAACAGTATTAAATCACAACAGCTTAATAACAATATAACAATTAAAACTTAAAATTAAACAACGCAATAGACACTCCACTATGGCCATAGCAGTGTTCCTGTCCATCCAAGATGGGGCCACGTAAGGAACAGTGCACATTCAGTCCAGGAAAATTTAATCACGAAAGGCCTGCCGGAAGAGATCCGTCTTAACAGCTTTTTTAAAGCTGACTAGCGATGTTAACTGACGGATCTCGTCTGGCAGGCCGTTCTATAGTTTGGGGGCGACAACAGAGAAAGCCCTCTGAGAAGTTGCCGCAAGCCTCGATTTTTGGGGCTGCAGCAGGTTCCTCCCAGAG